TGATTTTGGCCAAATTTCATCAGAAATGAAAAGGAGAATTTTTCATTTTAATAATTTTTCCTGTTACGTTTTTAATTTGTAATTTTATGTTGCATAGAAAGTTTGAACTGATTCTGATCAAATATGAATTTTTATGAATCTTTAGAAGTTGCTCTATACGCTATAGTGCTTATCAGCTCATGAAGCATGCTTTGTGGGAAACCCTGGTTTACACTGTAGTCTACTATAATGAGTATTTATTGCCTTAAATGGACTTTTACTACTGTTTTTGCAGTATATGTACATGTACATTGATATTATTCTTTTATTGCAGTATCATAGTGTCACAGTGGACCAGCATGCTGCATATCATTGAGCATCACTTAACACTGTCAAACATATCATGTACAAAGATTGACGGGAAGTGAGTTAAATTTATAAATGGATGTGTACATACATGTATTTTGTATATTTACATGTATAATGTATGTGTTGTGTTATTTATTTCTTAGAGTTCCTCTTAAAGACCGTCATGCTAACATTGATGCATTTAACAGGAAATCACCTAACCCAAGAGTTAGTATTGATTACTTGTATATATTTACACATACATGTAGACGTACTTGTAGCTATACTGAATGATGTGACAGCAATACTCTTTTCCTCCTTTCTCTGTCTGTCCCTGCCTCTCTCTCTTTCTCCTCCTATTCCTCTCCAGGTCATGTTATTATCATTACAAGCTGGTGGTGTTGGTCTAACACTGACTGCTGCCAATCACGTCTTTATCACTGACCTCCACTGGTACGTGCGAAATTATGAAACTAGTGGAGAGAGTGTTTTGTATTATAATGCATTATGTACATTATAGGAATCCTCAATTGGAGCAGCAGGCATCAGACAGGTGTCATCGTGTTGGTCAAACACGGACAGTAACTATCCACAGGTAAGGAATACATGTACATGCATGCAAGTTTTAAAGAATTGTATGTACATTTTATTAACATTTTGAATTGATAACCAGTACTTGTAAAGTACATGTACATGTAAATGTATTTTTCACTTGATATGCATCATTGCCTACACCCATTTAAAAGCTTGCTCCACTCTGTGATTATGATTCAAATTGTATTCCCTTAGGTTTATGACTGAGAATACAGTAGAGAGAGTCATAGCAGTAATACAGGAAAACAAGTTGAAATTAGCTTCTGATGTTCTTGGAGGGTAAGCTACTCACACACACACACACATGTATAGTAATGATACTTCATTGCCTGTTAGTCCTACATGTAAAAACCAATAGACTACATATGCCCACTAAACATTGTGTTGGGTTTGATTTGATTATCACAGCTCACAGTATTACACACATTATCTATTTTATTTTTCTTTTCCCAAATTAGGTCTACCAAGAAAGGAAGGAAGGGTATGGGGCTGACACTTCAAGACCTCAAAATGCTCTTTGAAATACCTTAACTGATGATCATTTATTATAATTGATTTCATTTATATGCTGCCCACTTGATGTTGTACTGTATTGTCATTGATTATTGATTTTAAATCATTAGTTTAGTAAAACTGTCACACAAACAAGGGAAAATGGGATTTGTGCCATTGATAACAAAAATTCTATTATCACTAGATCTACCATCATATTGTAACTAGATTCATTGTTCCACTTATCTAGTCACGTGAAGCTATTATTGCATGCTGTCACCGCACCAGCCCTGCAGTACCGCCCTTGGTTTAAACATGGCAAGTTCTTCTGTAAAACAACAGATACTAGGTTAGTCACAAAAAGAGTCTTTTGTGCTTTGATGAATTATTAGGTGATGGAGATCTTGCTAATGTACGTGGCTTATTGAAGGACCATGGTTATGCTGGTGTTGATTATTATGATCTTGGTCTCCAATTGGGTCTGCTTCCTCGTACACTTGATGTTATTGAAAAGAATAATCGTGGAGATGTTAGTGGTGGTCTAAGAGAGTGTTTGAAAGCATGGTTGAAGCAAAATGATGATGTAAAAAGTAAAGGCGGTCCAACTTATAATTCACTAATACAAGCTTTGAGGCAGATGGGAGAGAATGCTGTAGCTGATGGGATCAATAAAAATTGTGAGGAACATAGTTGATTTATCATACATTTATGAGTCAATTTATACCTATAGGTGACACTATGGCTCAGCAAGCACCTGCAAACCTGGTCTCACCATCAGTACCATCTTCCAAGGTTGTAGATAAAGAAAAAGCAAAAAAAGTGTTACGTAAAAACTTTGATAAGCTTTCTGCTATCCTGGCAGCTCCAAATAACCTTTCACCCATCATCATGAGTTTGTATGCTAAAGAACTAATTGCTGATGCAACTTCCACGGAATGCATGAATGCTGGCAGACCAGTAAATGATAGATGTGCTTCACTATTGTTTGCTCTTAAAGCTACCATAGATGGGAAACCTCAGGAAATAATAACTTTAATTGAAGTATTGAAAAATAATGAAGCATTTAAAGATGTTGCTAAGGAAATGGAAATGGAAATGTCATTGTGTTGAAAACTATTTTTTCTTGAGCTTAGTTTTTATTAATTTTAGAGCTACTTTTGTGTTATTATTTTATTTTTGCTAAGCATAGGGCATGCATAGCCTGACCATAGTTGTGGCATAGATATTTAATATTATTATACCCTTTAAAATAAATGAAAAGTAGAATGAATTAAAAACAAATTTTTCTTCGGAATAAAAAAATCAAATAAATAACAAACAAAATTGTAAATAAAATTAATAAAATTATGAATGCTATACTTGCCCAAAATAGGGTAAAACTACTAACATTAGTCGTGCTGTATGAAACTTGTAATTGCACAGTAGAATATGATTCGGAGATAGATCTAATGTAAATAAATTTATTCCTAGATTTCTTGCAGTAAAATTTATTGCAAGTTTCTATCACACAAGTAGGATCATTAATGTTGAGATACTCGTTGCAATCACTTGGGTTTTTATACCCACTAATGTTATATGTGTATTTTAATACTGATACATTACTTTCAACAATGTATTCATCCTTTATTTCAATCCCAACATAATATAAATCTGCCTTTGTGATATTGAAAACTGCTACTAAATAGTTATTGGTTGTATCTATTGGGTATGATTTCACTGCATGGTATGGCTCATAATTTCTAAACTGGTTATAATCAGCATAATTGTTAAAAAGATACAATATGGCAACTTCCTCATCTGTTGCAACACACATGTTGTTCTTCTCTATTACTTCAAAACTATACGTTATTGAAGATGGCTCTATCAGGTATATAGGCAGGTCTCCACCTAGGTAGTTGTAGTTATACCTAGCTAAACCCTCCAAATTTGGAATACTTGACAGTGGAAGATAGTCACCTTCTTTTATTGGACTTGTATCACTACTAAGCACTTCAACAATGGCATCATCAGCATTTTGTGATAATAGTGTCACTGACACTTTATATATTGATCTATTAACCGTTATCAGTAATGGTGAGCTTGAATCTTGAATTGTTAAAGTCTCATCAGTAGTCTTAGAAGTTGAATATGACTGCCAGAATAAAATACCAAAGCTAATAATGCACGTCCCTAGTGCAACAATTGCCATTGGGCATAAAATATATTTTGTTTTACCTATAAAATTGTGACAGTCAGTTCATTATTTATATACAAAGAATGCTTTTATAGCTCTTACATTTATTCTTGGTAGAAATTTTCTCTCCTTGAATCCCTCCTTTTGCTGACAATAAATACTCTTTTTCATTTGACAATTTTATAGCCATCTACTTGCTTTGTTATTTGTCTTACTCATGCAGAAGATCTATCCATATAAGGTAATATATACTATGCTATGCTGTTATGTAGTTGTATCAGCCCAGCACAGCAGTTGACAACTGTGCTCCATTTCATGAATATCATTACAATATAACAGTCAGCTATAAACTCATTTTATAACACATAATAGCAAATAATTAGATATCATTAGTTGTTTCAATTAAGCTTGACGTATCTATTACTATCAGTTTCAGTTGTCTTATACCAGCAATAGCATTTTATGAGATAGAGACAAAAAATAAATCCAGCAAAAATGATAAATGCAATAAGGTACCAGAATGAGTTGCATGGAAAATAATAATGTTTAGAGCTATAACTAATCTCTTTTACGGCATTACCTGCTGGAATATTAACAAATACATGACCTTCATTGTCACAATCTTTAAAACGGTGATACAAATCAATCACACACGACGGTCTTGAAACATTCAAAGTGCAGACTTGACTCAATGATAAACTCTCATATGATGCTTGAGTGACAGAAACATTGCCAAAAACAAGGCAACAATTTTCTACTTCAAGTGCAACGTAGTATATAGAGTCATGATCAATCGTAAAACTCCAAGATAAGTTTGATGAAGTAATGTGAATTTCTTTATAGGCAAAATTGCTGCGGTTGTTTCTGAAGTTATTATAATCTTTGAAGTTGTCAAATAAGTACAGAGATGCACAATTATCAGATGCTAACACACATGTTTTATTATAGCCATTGCTCTTGAAATATAAAGTGTAGTTTAAGCTTGATCCTTTTTGCAAAAAAATTGGTATGTCACCTGAAATGTAATTATAGTTGTGACGTCCACCAGACAGGCCAGGAATATAATTTGGAGGAAGGTTTTGTAAAAATGTTTTAGGAAGAAAAATACTTTTGTAAATTCTAATGTTAACAGGACCATTGCTTCCCTCATTTTGATTAAAGGACACACTGATATTGATTGATATTGTCTGTGAATGATACGATACCAAGAGCTTTGTTTGATCTTCATAAGAAGTGCCATACTCTCCCAGCAACGGGATCGTCTTTGGATCATTTGACATCAAAAAATAAATTGCAAAAAGAAGCATGGCTATGCTTGTAAGAAAAATAGCGATTAATATGATGAAGAATACCACTCTACAAATATATTTGCAAATTCTGTGGCATGGATTTCCTAAAAATAAAATGCAGTCATACAAATCTATACATGCATGCACCTTTAAATTTAACTGTAAATTATATACGACTAATTATTTGCCCACAATGCTTTGAAACTACTATAATTAGACATAATTAATTTTATTAGCTACAAAGGCAATTAAAAAAATCCTAAAAAGTAGATTAATGAATTTATAGTACAGTACACTTTGCTTACAATAACACTGAGTAGTGGATAGTGACAATTATTGTAAGTTGTGCATGGACATAGATAATAGAGTACACTAATATCTTTGTGTACTCTAATATCTATGGCATGGATGGCTATAATTATTCTCACATACCTTTTACTTGTGAACAACCAGATTTTTTGAGCAAATTATCAATTTCTTTCAGGCTACGATCATTGCCAGACAGCAATTTTTCATTCTCAATCAGAAGGACCAGAAATTTACAGTCTGATATGTTGCTTATATTAGGCATCATATCTTTAGGCAAAACTTTAGCAGCACAGTAGCCTTTAAATGCTTTAAACTCTTCCTCATTCAAGGAAAATACCTTTTTACTAAGTTTCACTATGTTTTTTATATTATTTGGATCAATATCTAAGTGGCCTAGATCAGCATTTTCTGATGCAGCAGCATCTTTTAAAGCCTTCTTTAGTTCGTCACAATCACAGCCAGTACAATCTATCTTCTCGAGAATTTGTAGAACTATGGTAGGAGCCGCCTCCCGTGTTACTTTCTCTTCTATCAGGCGGTAGAGGTCCATAAAAGTTATTCTTTCGGCGTCAAGTCGCACTTGTGATATCTTTAAGACCTCAGCTAAAACTAGTTTGAATAATTCGACAATCATGGCATTTTCTCTGTCACTAAAGTTCTTTATTTGACGCATTAAGTCTTCATACCACCGAGGTAGTAGTGTCTCTGGTTCCAGAGCTGGCATCTCTGCTGAGGCCATTGCTGAGTGCAGCTACTAGACCTAAGGGGTGGGGCTCATCACATGATTCTATTGCTCCATCAATAGCTAGATCTTTATGGAGGTTCACTTGAGTGCCTGCTCATCAGCAGCAAAAATTACCAGGGAGAAAGTTTTGTCTGTCTTAAAAGACAGCGGAGTTAGAGATGAAGATATTACTGAAAAGAATGGGACATTTATCATTAAGGTTTCACTGTCTGTGGCATCTATGATCATAAGAAACAGAGACAAGTATCCCAGCACTTGGGTCCTTGCTGTACCAAATCCTATTCCTGCTGTCAGTGTTACCATCTCATACTGTGAAAATGTATTGCCTGTTAATTCGGGCCCAGCTAATGCCAAATCAGATGTCGTTGATGATTCTAAAATTGTCTCTTTTCTTGACGAATTAAAAGCATCAACTAAAGTAAGCATAATTTCAAAGTGTATAGATCTATATCTTTTATATTATGTATAGATTGGTTATGGAGTGGTCGTGACATTTAAAAAAATTGATGCCTGCTATTTTCGTCCATTTACTTCGCCGCAAGAAATTCTTCCTCTTTTAAAAGTTGAAGTCATTGGCAGCAATGAGGCTAGCTTTAGTGAGCAGAACTGCAGCAACTTTCGAGACCTTCTCTTCAGTAAATTCCCTGGTCATTGGTAAGATTTGCTATCACTACTTTTATATCATTATATATGTATTTTATTAATTCTATAGTATTGCATGGACATCTTGCAATGATTCAGATAAAACTACTTCATGTACTTTTGTTTATCATCCACCACCCAACACATAATGAAGCTCACAGAAGTATTCAGTGATAAGTAATTATTTTACTATGAATTTCAATTGATAAACTTTAACTGTTAAGGCCATTTTCAGTATTATTCAAGTATTGCATATCTATGCTAGTTTTAATGGCATTTTTGTAGTATTTCATAAGTGTGTTATTTTAATAACAGTTTCAGTTTTGTAAAGAGCTTTAATATAAATTGTTATATACAATAACTTCTAATATTTTCACTGTACATTATGACTAGATAGCACATTTACTATAACTATTGATATCTTTCCTGTGAATGACGTTTCTTATTTTATTTATAATGATATTCATTGGGATACCGTAAAACAGAATGTGAGTAGCCCACTCTATGAATCAAATTGACACTAAAGCAGTTACTATTACAATTGCCAAAGCACAATCCATGAATTTTGTTGTTATATAGCTTTTATGCAGGAAATTTTACCATGTCATGCTGGACTAGTGTAGTCTATACACTGCTGTCAATAAAAAAACTAGATTGATCTATGTTTACCTTCTAAAAACAGAACGCCATCATGCTAAAGTAGAGTAAGAGAGAATGTAGATCTATTACATGTAGATCTATGTAGACCATGCTTGATGAGCTAGCCTAGCAAAAATGAATTTAAGCAATAATATCATACTCATAAATTGCAAGGAAACTGGCATGATTTGCTGCAGCTGAACTGATTTTTCATCATCAATAAGGTTATGGTAGACTAATTATTGAAAATACATCAACCATTAATTTTATAAGTAAAAAATAATAAGTCACACTTTTCTTTTCTTAAAAGCAGACTCAAGTGCCGTTGTTCTTCTCTTTCGCTAAAAAGAAATTATTTCATTTTGAGAAATAACATAAACAAAATGCCTACTCATTGAAGCAGCTTGACTAACAACCTCCATGAACTGTGAACTTGACAGAGGATTTGAAATTATACAAGAATTTTTGCATGCATAAATGAAAAAAATAGAAAAAAAAGAAATGAATTACAAAACTAAATAAAGTTTGGTGTTTCTGGTAAATATTTTGACATTACATTACATTTAATGCAGGAATAAAACTAATGGTAAGACATTAAAAAAGTTTAAATATTAAAAATCAAAAAAATTAATAAAAATTGGGAATAATTTTGGAGCTAATTTTTGAAAAAACCATGCCTGGTTTTTATAAATTTTGGTATTTTTTAGAAATTGGTAAATTTCCATAACTCAACAAATTCTAAATTGGAATTAGCTCAAACTTTCTACACAACATAAGTACATCAATGTGTATCAGAAAATGTAATAAAAATTGGGAGTGATTTTTAAAGTTTTTTTTGGAAAAAACCATGGGCTATAGCCTATATTGAGTATTATCAGAAATTGGCTTGTTTTTAAAAATGGCTATAACTTGAAAATTTTAAGTCAGAATCAGCTCAGACTTTCTACATAGCCTAAGTACATCAATAATTATGTATCAGAAATGTAATAAAAATTGGAGGTAATTTTGGAGCCATTTTTCAGAACAAACCATGGTAAAGCCTTGGGTATTTTTCTGAAATTTGTAGTTTAAAAAATGGCTTCAAAATCACCCCCAATTTCTATTACATTTTCTTATACATATTGATGTACTTATGCTATATAAAAAGTTTGAGCTGATTCCGACAAGTATTTTCTGAGTTATTAGCATTTTTTTAAAAAAACAACCATTTTCTGCCGAATAATACCCTAGGGGCCCATTGTTTTTTGCAAAAAATGGCTCCAAAGACACCTCCAATTTTTATTACATTTTAAAATACATATTGACATTCTTATGCTATATACAAAGTTTGAGCTGTTTCCTACAAACAATTTTTGAGCTGTCAGCACTTTTAAAACAAGCCAATTTTTAAAGAAGAGCAAAGGTTTGTGCTTAAAAATGGTTCGGAAGTCACCATAGTTATGTTTTTTTAAAATTCTGATGTATATTGAGTTTGGCCATTTCGAAACTGAGGCAACTTCTGAAAAGTGGTTCAAAAATCACCTCCATCAATTATTGTCTTTAACCTTTTTGACTGATTTATGAACTTTCAACTCTCAAAATGCATTCAGTGCATTGCCACTGCAGTTAGTAACTTAGTTCTGATCAATGTTGTACATGTACATGTAACAAGTTCCCTAAGGTCTGGTTTATTATTAATATGTTGTAGGGTCTTGTTGGATACTTTGTCATTGGGTTTGAGGTTCCCTCTTATCATGTGTACTTCAGTACTAGTCCTCAAGATACACCCACTCACTGGCATCAGAGGATATTCTTCCTCAATGAACCCATACAAGTTCAAACAGGTGGGTCTGGTTTAAAATTAATGTACTCATTACTGTCTATACTTATTAATTGTGTAAGGACAAGTCAGTATATCAAATACTGTCTGTTTGTATGTACATGTACATATACATCGCTCCTAATTATACATTTTATAATTATTGTTACTATTATTATTATTATTATTATTATTATTATTATTATTATTATTATTATTATTATTATTATTATTATTATTATTATTATTATTATTATTATTATTATTATTATTATTATTATTATTATTATTATTAGGTGGTTTTATTGGTAGTATCAGTTGCTATAACAGCAAGGATTGTTCAAGATCACTTGATATCAAGATACAGATGATGTTATTCTTACTCTCAAAAGAATTCCAAGAATTAATAATGAACAAATTATACACACTATTATCATGTGGTACTGATTGTACTTTGTTTATCATCAGTAAAATTAAATCATAATTAATCTTTACCAACTCTTCTTCATTAAAAATTTTTTGTGAATTAACAAAATTAAAAAAACTAAAAAAATTTCAAAATAAGCAATAGTAACATAGCAAATCAAGCAATAAATTGAATGCATATCAAGCAATGAATTGAATGCATATCAAGCATCAATGTTGATACTAAAATTAATCCCCAACTCATTCCTAATAACTTCAATCCAGTCCTCACATAAAACTATTGCTGCATCAGCATAACTGCCTCTTACAGCAATGAATGAGCTTAAGAACTTTTGACAGTGCTCCTCCACTTGAGGTAACTTCCTCTTGAAATTAAGACTAGCCTTGAACTCTGTAATGAAATTTTCCATGCTACGAGTCTCTTTGACTTCATCACTAATAAGATGAGCTGCATATAACTGACTGGCAAGATCTGAGAGAGATGTCTTAAGAGAATTGAGTGCAGCATAATGAGATACAAGAACATCACCAATCACTTTCTTTACTTTAGTGACATCACTAGTAGCTGATGGGCCTACTGTAATAGAGGTCAAAGGTCAGTATATACACACACAGTATTATCACTTACTAGCTCCTCCAGTGGATGATACTGATGCTGATTCATGTACTACATTAGAGGAGGAGGAGGAGGTAGTAGGACCTGTGAAATGAGGTATAATAAATTAATTTTTAATTATCATTGACTTACTCATTGATGGAGGAAGAGCAGGAGGTGATTTGTTGATGTAAACAACTTTTAAAGGATCTATTCCAGTTAATTCAATAGGACAATGAAGTGGATCCTGAGCAATACCAGGTTTAGCATACACTGACATACTGCAGCTTGAGTACAATGGGTTTAATGGAAAATAATCAATTGTAGACTGGAATAACTACAGTATAAAGAAACAGTAATATATTGCATGATTTAATTCCATAGACACATACTTCCATTGGTTTTCTGTCAGGATAAACAGTCCATCCTAACTGTAGTTGAGTAGTTTGTAGTGTCATTTTGAGTGTTCCATTTGGTTGAATGAACTTAAATAAGTCAGCAATATTATCATATTCAACTGACGTCTGCTTGTTCTCTAAATACTACAAGAACATACATACAACGACTCTAATCAATCAAAAGACATACATTATTATACATGTGTGTACATATGTGCATATATAATAACACTTTACCGTTTTAAGAACTTCTAAATCTCTAACAACAGAATACATAGCTTTCCAATGACCAGTTTCTTTCTTATCATAGTACATCATTCCAGAATACAATGTATCACGAAAATGTTCTAAACATATTTAGTTTACATATTGAAACATGTATA